CAGGGTCCCTCTTTCATACGGCCCGAACAACAATATGTTCTGTCCTTATAATAGTAGGGTGAATTTTTCCTGTAGCTCATGGAAATAGCTTTTCTTATGAACCACTAGAAAAATTCACTCCGCTATTATAAGGACAAAATACAGCGTTGCTCTAGCCATATGAAAGAGAGATCCTACAAACCCCATAATCGTCCCGAACAACAGTATGTTTTGTCCTTATAATAGCGGATTGAATTTCCCTAGTTATTGATAGAAAAAAGCTGTTTCCATGAGCTACAGGAAAAATTCACCCTACTATTATAAGGACAGAACATATTGTTATTCGGGCCGTATGAAAGAGGGACCCTGCAAACCTCATAATCGCCCCGAACAACAGCATGTTTTATCCTTATAATAGTGGAGAAAACCTTTCCTGATTCATTTTCATACCTAAATTTAAAATCTAAATATCTCCCTCTAGGCAAGCCAACAGCTACTAATATTTTAACCTTGTTGGTTTGGCGGTGAGAGTTTTCATTTGACCCGAATATGTCCTATCTTTTTGATTATCAACACAAACATCCCCATTGTGAGAGACATTTTTCAAGGACGAAAATCCGGGGACATCTCATCAAGGACATTTTGTTAAGGATATTCTAAACTGTTACCTTTGCGTCGTTCTTCGACTTTTAATTATATTCCCAAACCGATAGTTTGTTTCGATCTGAAATATTACGATCGCAGTTAGACAGTAGAATTTTAGAGAATTGATCAATAAGTATTGAATCAGCATCTTGTTAGCAAATCACAAAATTGACCTACTTTGATTTGCTTATAAAATATGTCAAAAATTTATTCTTGAATCTGTTTGTAATTGAAAGTTGACTATTTTAGGGTAGGAATGCAAAAAGTTTAAACAAAAAGGACACACGTTTTTTAGCTTTTTAGTTCAGATCAATTTCTAGTGTACCCGTCTCAGAATTGCAATTTTTCTCCATAAACGTTGCAAATTCATCAGGTCATAAAAGCAATAAACAACAGGTTTGCAGGATTTAACATTCCAATGTAAACAGTAAGCATTTCATGAGGAAACGGAATTACAGTTGTCCTGAACGCGCTTTTCCTTGATACAGGTGTGATACTGACTGTTTCACGTAGCTTGTCATATTCGAATGATGTTATATCCTTGTCTTGGATGACACAACTCAAGTATATGGTATAACTACTGAAAAGGTCGACGTGTGTCATAAATCATTTCGTTCATACGATATGGCCTTTCTGTCAATTATTATTTCTTAATGTTCTCTCTATTTGCTTCTCTCTTCTAAATGATTGTGTCGTGCCCTCTTTCTTATTCTGTCTCTAGTATATACATGTGCTAACTGGCACACTGTATATCATCATTGTATGGTATCATCTTTGTATGATATAGCCCTTGTATGATATCATCCTTGTAAGAGATCAATGTTGTAACTTATTATCCTTCTGCAATATAATTCTTATGTAATGTAACCTTCGTAATGAAAGGACTCTTATCCTCGTTCTGATTGTAATTTCTTTCTTATTCTCTCTCTCTCTTCCTTATTTTCTCTCTTGTATATAAGCTCGTGTTCTATGTAAGATAATTACATTTCGATGTAGTGCACATCCGAACAAACATCAAGCCAAATAAGGCTAAAGACATATGTGCCTCTCCACTTGTCATTAACGGAAATATTTTCCGTTACACTGACGTAGGTACTAGAAACTGTAAGTCTAGAAGACAGTTTTCTTGTGAGAAAAATTTACAGGAGACAACCGTCATACCAAAAATTAGCAGAGAAATAGGTACTTTTTAAGCATTTTACCTTATTCTCGCAGAGTTTTCCCTCGATTTCAATTGTGGAAACCTCTGTAGCAACGATACAAGTAGATGGATCGAGATATGATACTTGCTCTGAGTAGTTCAAACCCAGAGCTTTCAACATCTGCGTTTAGAGTCACCGAATCTTTTCAGTAGCGCTCGAAAAAAGTCTTCTTCATTTTGAGTTTCAAACAGACGGATGCTAAGGATGATCCTACGATATCAATCCCTGACCGGTGTGACTCTGCTAATAGAAACTGGATATCATTTTAAAGAGTTGAAATACTTCGAACGAACATGAGTTTGATTCAGAATGTGGATGGAGTGAGGTTCTGAGTAAAATCAAAGAAAGACTAGAAATAGAAAACGCAAACAAATAGTAATTTTCTGTTGAAGAACTAAAAATAATAGGTAACACTTCGATGCTAATACAAATCAAGATTTCGACCTCCAATGAGTCTTTTCTGCTATACGTACGAAGTTCTTTCAATCTAATTTCTCGTCCATCCTTCAAAGTCACATAGGTACTTACCCATGATGCATTCTGATATGGAGTATTTACCATTGATTGGTGATATGGCGACTCTTTAATTTTGTGAGATTTAAAGATTTCCCATGTTCATCATGCTACAATATTACATGATCTATCTAAATTGATTGACCTCTGTTTTTCTTTGACAGTCTCTGAATCATATCCTATAGTAGAGTCATGCGTCATGCGAACTTATCAGATTCTCCAGAAGCCTCACTTACAAAAGAGCTTCGGTTTTGAAAATTCATTCTTTGTCATTGATAGAAATCGATTGGTGAATAAGCAACCCCTTCAAAAAACTTCCTACTAGTGAATACATGAAAAATCTTGTCGAACGTCTTTCGTTTCAGATTCAAAGAAAAAAGCAGTTGTCACGAATATTGTGAGAGTGTGTGACAAACTCGATAAAAACTTGAACATGACTTCATCTAATGTGGTTGTCGTTGCTCACGTCTATTGTCGGGCTGATCAAAAGGAAAATATTCTTTCTACCCTTCGAAAATTGACAGACGCTACTCGAACCGGTCCTGGTTGTATTGAGTATCAGCTGCACCAAGACTTATCGGACGAAACGCACTTAACGTTTATCGAAGAGTGGACAAATGAAGAGGCTTTGCAGTTGCACTTTCAAATGGAGCACTTCAAAGAAGCTACCGAACATGTCAAAGCAGCTAGTGTCAAACCAGTCGAAATTTTTAAATATAAAAAACTTTTTTGATTGTAGCTCCATTACAATATGAAATAAAAAACTATCGATAGTTTTGCACGTACTTAATTGGATATATCTTTTTTTTGCATACATCTATGAATAAGAAATCATACGGATTCAATAATTTGCCAGTTCTATATTTAATCATGGACTGATCATGAAACAAGAACTCGAATACAATGACTCCATTGGATCCCATTAACTAAGACTAAGCTATTGAGCCACAAAAATGGAAAGAGTTGAAAAAGTGTAAACGAGGCTTTCACCACAGGATATCCAATGTAAAAAAAGAATACATATTGTTAGTTTAAACATTGATATCCCATTCAACTGTTCCCGAACGACTTATGAAATCATCACGTTACATAGACTATCGGGTGTGGTATAAAGAATGATACCGTCAGTTTTTTTTTGTGATCCTGAATAACACCGAAAATAAAAATAGCGGAAAGATAAATATCGACAGGTGAAAGTGTCGAAAACAAAAGACAGAAAATAAGAATGTGAACAAAAATCTTCCACTGTTTGAAACTAAAGAAGGGATGCACTCTCAAGAATTATTGCAATGATATGATGGAAGATGGCACTAAAAGTCGTTAAGTATAATTAACTGTGTTTGTAATTGATGTTATTGGTCGATCATGTAACTGATTATTGGAGTGGACACAACACAAACGTTATTCATACAGAAGGGGTGTGCGTATGGGTGGTGTGGGTGAGAGGCGTGAGTGTGGATCTTGTCTTTCTACTCACCCATACCAATACCCACACCCACACCCACACCCACAGTAAAAGGATATTATGAAGACTGAAGTTTCGTACAAAAAAGTTACGATACCTGTAAAACATAGTTCAATGTCACTGAGCATTCTTGCTATATAATAGAAATAAGACCATTTATTAAATGTATAATCACTTTTTAGTATAACTACTATTTATCGAAAGATAACAAGGTATCAAACTCTCTTATTTGGTTGATTACAATGGAAACTAAGTGTACTTTGTGCGCTCTTCCAATTCAGAATCTATCAGATATCTTTAAGTGCCATCAATGTGCTAATCATTTCGTCTGCGGTGAGGGCGTGGGTGTGGGTGTGGGTTTGGGTGGGGGTGTGGGTGTGGGTGTGGGTGTGGGTGTGGGTGTGGGTGTGGGTGTGGGTGTGAGTGTGGGTGTGGGTATAAGTGAGATTTCGCTAAGACACCACCCACACCCATACCCACACCGACACCCACACAAAAACACCCAGACCCAGACCCAGACCCACACCCACACCCCATAAATGATTCTCAAATTAAAAATACTTCAATCTAAACTAACAAGAAAATGTCATGTAGTCTTTAAATCTTGAGTTGAATAATAATCCAGTTGAGTCGAAAACATTCAGAGATATGAGTGAACCTCTATACAAAATTCTGAAACTTGATCTCAGTGAATTTGAAGTTTGAAGGTGAGTGTGAGTGTGGATATGAGTGTTTTCCGTTCTTCATCGACATCCACACCACCAATAATTTAAAGAAAATGATAAAGTAATATATGTCGCATATATCATGAATTTTCTTTATTTTTCTGGCTTTATTCAGTTTTAGCGCACGCAAGGTGAAATATGCAAACAATTTCGTTAAGATCTGAGTGATTTAACAGGTGTTCCAAGAATATAATCGAATAATGATAATCGGCTGTGCTCGCTAGTATACCGAAAGAGATATAAGTATAAATTTCATACTGTTGCATTTTGTTTATCCAAGTAATCATAAACTTCAAAAAATGAGTTAACCAAGTTTATATCACCGAAAGCTGCATAGATTAATGGACGTCTGGCTTCAGAAGCAGCCATGAGTTGAATAATTGCTAAAAAAACGCAAGAGCAATCAAAATTTATTAGCTGCACATCAATTTTCACCTTTCAGCTGTTTTTCACCATTGAATGCACCACAACCCCAGTTTCCGGTAGCAGTACCAAACAAGACCTCATCTGTTGTTGCGGTTTTTCTAGGGCGAAAACATGTATATGCTTTGATCAATTCACGATTTATGAATTTCATATCGTATTGGATTGATGAATTACGAAAATAAATCGCATCCATAGCCACTACATGGCACCATTTTCGACCCCAATTATCTCTAAAAACATACAATGTTGAAGAAAATAAACACATTTATTAATTCTGATTTATTAATTTTGACAATTGAATTAAACACATAAGATTTGACTAGAATATTTGTTGTTCTATAGCTGCAATATCTGATTGATTTAAAGATCTACGTTCTGTTAACGAAATTTATTTCTGAAATTATTTTAACATTCAAGATAAAACTTGATCTCTTCATACTTTCGTGTTACTATTAATTAAATAGATGAAGTTTTCTTTTTTTTGAAATAGTATTTCTTACCTAAGTATGTTATCTCTATAATCACCATCGAATTCAAAATTGTTTGCATAACCTTTGGTTGTGAATATCGTTCACAACCAATAAGAAATATACATTCGTTCGGTTCCATCATTTCACAAACAAGTAAACTAACAAGCATTTCAGGACATATACTAAAACGAATTTCTTCTTGTACACAACCAGAGCCTAAAGCACCTCCACCCTAGCTTTTTTTTTACAGAATATTTATCTCATGAGACAAATTATTATTTAGTTACTCACAATATACTTATTGGCAAAGTCAACCTAGAAACAACGAGAATAAATTCATGTACAAAATGTATTCTTCTACTTACTTGTAAGACACAATTGATATCTTCGATCTTTTTGCCAGTTGTCAAGTGTATATCACAGAGTACTTGTCTTAAATTCGATCATTCTGAATAGAAATTGTCAAGTAATTTATAACGTCGGAAACTAATCACACCGTTGGGCACTAAACAGAAACACTGAATACTGTAAATTTTTTGTAAACGCACTTTTTTCTGTAATACGACGAAAGTAATGTAAAATGCATTTTAGTTTTTCAATTTTAGCTGGAGGTCCACTTTGATATAGTCTTTAATATCAGTAATGTGTTATACATATTCAATGATCTAATACATGCATTTACCTATTGAAGTTCGGATTAGGAAAGTTTTCATATTCTTTCAACTGTGCCTGGTCAGAACGGTATGGAGATAGACAGAAAAATGCACAAGCTAACAATGATGCGGCTTGTAGTTGCGACATTGTAAGAGAACGATTTGATCCGATACGGAGTAAAGGTGGTGACTGAAACAAGATAAAATGTCTCGATAATAATACATAGAAACGAAGATTCATACTTGACCACAAATTTTATCGGCATTCAATGCAAGCGAACAAATGTCGGGAAGAACATTCCGCAAGAAAATATCACGATCTTTGGTCGAATAAATCTAGGACAATCATATATCACTTTCTGTAGTAAGAAGCGAAAACTTACATCTTTGATCAGTCTTTCGAGACTGTTCATTTCATAATGACGTCCAGCACAAATCTGAATTGTTTCCTAGCATTATATAATTTATTTAGAAATAAAAAATATTTCATTCTATTTACTGCTAGATCACGATAAGTAACACTATTGGCAGCACACAATCGTTGAAGGTGAACCAATGACTGCTCAATTATTGACCATATAGGTTTTCCATCCCTCTTTTTTTCATAACAGAAGAGTATTAAACAAAAATGAAAATATCTTTAATTTACCGTAACATAATGTGGGTAGCATGGCATACGAACGTGATCCGTGTCCCATCTATCACAATAACCAATTTTCTCATTAATTGACCTCGGTCTGTGATTGGGAATCGACGAATTGTATTTGAATGGCTATTTCGAATGATCAGCATTTCTTTTGATAAAAGAGACAATACTTACTGATATCATAAATATACAATTTTTGTTTTTGATGGTTTCCATTTCTTTTACAGGTGGTGGCTGACGACAAATATTGATAATAGTATCTAAAGATTTGCCCTAAGCAACAAAAAATAGAAAAAACAAATAAAAATATATTTTAAAGCTACTTTAACTATGACATTGCCCGGTTTGAGTCCGTTCATAAAGACATCATGCATGTCGTACCCTAAATAAATTACTTTCTTTTTTAATTTGCTAAGATTTTGTTTCGAAAACTCTCAAAGTAGAAAAAGAATATGCGCGCACTTGACTTACTGTCATCTGAGTTCGCACTGTTGTCATGACGTGCTGCATATGGTCGTTGGTTGGAAAGACGATTATCCATATTACGATTTAGTTATTTTTAATGATGGGGTTTTTTTGTATGCAATAATATGCCACTGGTTCAACTAACAATTCTGGTCAAAATAAAAATAACATATTTCTGTAAGAAAGAATTCAAAGAAAGAAGATAGATATTTGTTAAAAGAAAAAATGAAAAGGTTTCTTCCGACCGTTATGTCAACAATCCACTTTTTTTCTTTTACCAACATAATAAAACGTGCTTAGTAGAGAAAGAGAACAAGTAAAATGAATTTTCTCTGGATTTCAAAAGCAAACCAGAAGAACCTATATCGATCTTAATAGAATAACGGAATCTTTATGTGTTGATATTCATGTTGGTGGATGTGGTTTTTGATGGAAATAGATATGGATATTAGTGTTTTCGTCATCCACGCCTACACTTCAAATACCCTAGTCTTAACACAAGGAAAGTGGTAAAAAAAACATGCTATTTTCTCATTGTTAATCTTCTTAGGTGCATATTCTATGCTATCGATCTGGTTTTTCTAGATCCATTACAATAGTTGACCAGAGTAAGAGATAACAAAGCTCTAGCGATAAGAACACTATAGTTATGAATATATATATATATATATACCATTTTCGCTTCTATGTTAATTTTTCACTCATCATTCGTTGATCGAAAAAGTATTTTCATCATGATTATTAGCTATGATAACACTTATATGGGAACATGGTTTATCATTCAAATGTACAACAGTAAAGCAACCGAATGATAAGTGAAAAATTAATTCTTAAAATTAAGTGTCAAGTGAAAACTNCATGAGTTTGATTCAGAATGTGGGTGGAGTGAGGTTCTGAGTAAAATCAAAGAAAGACTAGAAATTGAAAGCGCAAACAAATAGTAATTTTCTGTTGAAGAACCAAAAATAATAGGTAACACTTCGCTGCTAATACAAATCAAGATTTCGACCTCCAATGAGTCTTTTCTGCTATACGTACGAAGTTCTTTCAATCTAATTTCTCGTCCATCCTTCAAAGTCACATAGGTACTTACCCGTGATGCATTCTGATATGGAGTATTTACCATTGATTGGTGATATGACGACTCTTTAATTTTGTGAGATTTAAAGATTTGCCATGTTCATCATGCTACAATATTACATGGTCTATCTAAATTGATTGACCTCTGTTTTTCTTTGACAGTCTCTGAATCATATCCTATAGTAGAGTCATGCGTCATGCGAACTTATTAGATTCTCCAGAAGCCTCACTTACAAAAGAGCTCCGGTTTTGAAAATTCATTCTTTGTCATTGATAGAAATCGATTGGTGAATAAGCAACTCCTTCAAAAAACTTCCTACTAGTGAATACATGAAAAATCTTGTCGAACGTCTTTCGTTTCAGACTCAAAGAAAAAAGCACTTGTCACGAATTTTGTGAGAGTGTGTGACAAACTCGACAGAAACTTGAACATGACTTCATCTAACGTGGTTGTCGTCGCTCATGTCTATTGTCGGGCTGATCAAAAGGAAAATATTCTTTCTACCCTTCGAAAATTGACAGAAGCTACTCGAACCGAACCTGGTTGTATCGAGTATGAGCTGCACCAAGACTTATCGGACGAAACGCACTTAACGTTTATCGAAGAGTGGACAAATGAAGAGGCTTTGCAGTTGCACTTTCAAACGGAGCACTTCAAAGAAGCTACCGAATATGTCAAAGCAGCTAGTGTCAAACCAGTCGAAATTTTTAAATATAAAAAACTTTTTTGATTGTATCTCCATTACAAAATGAAATAAAAAACTATCGATAGTTTTGCACGTACTTAATTGGATGTATCTTTTTTGCATACATCTATGAATAATAAATCATACGGATTCAATAATTTGCCAGTTCTATGTTTAATCATGGGCTGATCATGAAACAAGAACTCGAATACAATGACCCCATTGGATCCCATTAACTAAGACTAAGCTATTGAGCCACAAAAATGGAAAGAGTTGAAAAAGTGTAAACGAGGCTTTCACCACAGGATATCCAATGTAAAAAAAAGAATACATATTGTTAGTTTAAACATTGATATCCCATTCAACTGTTCCCGAACGACTCTTATGAAATCATCACGTTACATAGACTATCGGCTGTGGCATAAAGAATGATACCGTCAGTTTTTTTTGGGTGATCCTGAATAACATCGAAAATAAAAATAGCGGAAAGATAAATATCGATAGACGAAAGTGTCGAAAACAAAAGACAGAAAATAAGAATGTGGACAAAAATCTTCCACTGTTTAAAACTAAAGAAGGGATGCACTCTCAAGAATTATTGCAATGATATGATGGAAGGTGGCACTAAAAGTCGTTAAGTATAATTAACTGTGTTTGCAATTGATGTTATTGGTCGATCATGTAACTGATTATTGGCGTGGACACAACACAAACGTTATTCATACAGAAGGGGTGCGAGTATGGATGGTGTGGGTGGGGGGCGTGAGTGTGGATCTTGTCTTTCTACTCACCCATACCAATACTCACACCCACACTCCCACACCCCACACCCACACCGACACCCATCTACACCCACCCACACACCCACACCCACACCCACACCCTCACACCCACACCCACACCCACACCCACACCCACACACCCACACCCACACACCCACACACACCCACACCCACACCCACATCCCACACCCCATATCGTTTTTTTTTGAACAAAGAGAAAAGCTGTTCACACGAAGTTTTTCTTATCAATTTCTTTTCCGCTCGACGATCTTTCTTTTGAATACCTTCCCGTTTCTTCAAGCCATAGTCAAGGGGAGAAAATTAAAAAATGAGGTGAGTCTACACGAACATGAATAAGTGTCTGTAATTATATATTTGAAACGAATGGATGTAAAAAGAAAGAGAAAGAAATAGAAAAGACATATCATTTGAAAGAACGTTTCAGGCTGTACAAAATGGACTATTCATTATATTTTTTCTCCTTCTTTTTATACCGAGAAAATATCCTTTTCTTAGTACATCTTCATATAAAATACGATTTTTTCACAGTGTGAGACTTATAAGTTCTCGACAGTATGAGCTAGAGAGCTGATATTTTGTGTGGCAGTGGGGCACATACAGCGTAATAACATATAAAAAAACTATCCAAATTGGTCGAGGAAAACAAAAGTTATTACACAAATATAGCTAAAATCCTAATGGTACCAACAAGTTTCAATTCACTCAATTATTATAAGGAATTGTTCTAATACCAGTTCATAGTTACTGTTGACCAGAAATAATGTTCTATCTGATACGTTTATTGATATCACATTTCTATTATCAATGGCACAGCGTAACAACCGTGCGTAGAATCTGCAAGTCATTTTTTTGGACGTCGACTCATTATATGAATATGGCCGAGCTATTAACAGTCTACAATCATGAACTTTCATCAGATCATTCCATTGTTGATAATTATATCAGACACTACAAGTTGTCAAAGAAATTACATTAGTACCTTGAAATAGTGAAATAAGTGGAAAAGAGGCAGATCGAACCTACTCAACTGAAACTGTAAAACCCACGTAGCTTTTCATAGACTTATAAAAAAGCGTAAATTCTGAGTATTTTGAACTTTCTCAATTTCTTCTCTCAAATAAAATTGCCATATTCAAAATGATATGATGCTTTTGGACGCAGCGCGAGTCGATCAATATTAGGCCCTCTTTTCAACATTTACTGCCATTAGAAGCACCGAGCAGATTTTCATCCACAACGGTATTGGTACACTAAATAAGTTACTTGTTCTTTTTGTTTTCAATATTAGGAATTACTTGCTTATGGATTGGGAAACGTTGTCTCATCCTTCTTTCAATGCTATCCAAGTTCAGGCTCGTTGAGTCGTTCAATGGTGCAAGGAGAAAGCGGGGGCCAAACATCACTAATAGGTGGTTTTTCTTCTGTGATTTTAGCTATCGTTATTCTAGCACTGGCGCCTCTTCTTGAATACCTTCCTATGGCGTGTCTAGCCGGTATCATCATCGTTAACCTCAAAGGACTCCTCTTTAAAGTCACCGACTTGGCTTATTATTATCGTATTAGTATGATGGAAGCTGTAAGTCGATTGAACAATAGTGAAACATCTCTTCATAACAACACACATGTATATGCTTTCATACCATAGATCCTTTGGCTGATCACATTTTTAACTGTCGTCTTATCCGACGTTGATATTGGTGTTTATATAGGGATAGCTGCTTCGTTCCTTATGAACACGATTCGTACGCAAAGGTAATTTAACTTGTCGTATATAAGTGTATAAGTAAACATTATTTTTCTAGGCCACGCTTCGCTATTCTTGGTCGAGTAGGTGATACTACATTCTACAAAAATATAAAAGTGTTTCCATCTGTAAGTGGTGAATTTAGTCTCTGTCAGGATTCTTTATATCTAACTGATAACGTTTGATAGGCTGAACAACATCTTAGTATTAAAGTTCTTCGTTTCGATGGATCTCTCTATGCATGTAATGCACCTTTTTTCAAACGAAAATTCTATGAATTAATTGGTATACATATTGGCCAAACACCTCTCATTTCATTCAGAGGACCAGAAACAGTTGAAATCCAGAATACTAGTGACAAATATGTCGTTCTCGACTGCTCACCTATGAACTTTATCGATAGTGTGGGCGTCAAACTGCTCATTGAGGTATGTACGATTTACGAAGTACAAAGAAAAACGAATACTGATGTATATTTCATTTACTTGATGCCCTTTAGATTTTCAAAGATATGAAAAAACGCAACATTCATCTATATCTAAGCGAATGTCGTTGTAAGTTGATATTATTCATCTGATAGTTTTCATTACTAACTTCCAGTCTTTTGAAGACGATGTTCGTTACACGTTGGACTCGATGGATTTTTATGGGAATACGGATGGTCGTATAATCTATGTTTCGACACACGATGCAGTTATGGCCATTCTGATCGAAATACAAAATAGTAAGCATAAAGGTCAGATCAACTACGAATTCTCTTTTAATTTTTTTAGACTCGACGATAGAAACTGTTTCGCAAACCATCATCACACAATTCTGAGTTTTGACCTAGTGCTTTCTCTTTTTCTTTTCACATTAATCAGAAAACCGAAACATATCTTATCAAATATTTTACTTAATTCACACTAATCACACAGCTATTTAAACGTTTTTCAGTTTTTGTCTAGTAATAAATTTAAAGTACAGTCGTATTCCATTCGTGGGTGGTTCGGTGTGTGTTTGGGGTGCGTATGTGTGCATGATTATGGCTTAATAGAGGACCGACATTCACATCAGCATTCGCAACCACGCCCATCCTCCCTATTAAAACTGTTTGAGCGGGTATGGGAGTGAGAATTTGTTTTTCATCCAAACCCACAATCACACCCTGGCAAGGTATTCATATTAATCGCTTCATCGAATAGAGTTAGATAGATAGCATCGAGTACTTTGTTGGGAAGCTCCCTGCCGAGGAGAAAAAATCAAAACTAAAATGGTTGCTGCGACCTTTTTTAGGTCTGTATCACAGCTGTATAGCATATGCGACAATCGCGTCAAATAATCCTCTGGTAATTTCAGGTCGATTTTCGGGTGTGGGTATTGGTGTGATCTTCTCTTCACCACATCTACACCCACCCATACCCCTTTAATAAATTGACGCATATTGCAAGATATCAAATCAATTGCACGTAAGGCAACATCTTTGGATATCTGAAATGATTCACGTTCGTGTAATCGAAATTGAGCAGAATATTCTATAAGAAACAAATCTGAAACATTGTCAATGAAACCAGTATCAATAGTACCAGCTGCTGAGAAGTGTTGATAACTTGCGACATATTCTTGAGAAATATCGAAATCAATATGATTGTTTGCAAAAACGTTGCCATTCGGTAGACATGTTGCACTGCCTTGCCTAAACGGGCAGACGAATTTTCGTTTGCATTTTCTTCATCAAAACCTAAACTTACATTTATCGTATTCAAATTTTAGGATTAAACAATTATACTTTTCTATTTGCATGTATTACCACATATGATCATTTCGTTAATTGCGCATCATCTTCAAACGAGAATACAACGTTTTCGATAAACGACAAAATGATGCCAAATTGATGGAGAGATGAAAATAAATTTTTATTAATTTGTCGATGCAACAACTTATCAGGACTTACAGGTCCATCGAGATGCCAAAAAATAAATCAACCAATAGCGGAATCAAATGATGATCCAGATTTCATTCGGATAATTATCTTGAAGATTATATCACCAGTTGAGCAATCCTATAATAAAATAAAATAATAAACGTAATTTAGATACCAACCCAGGTCGAAAACCTACGAGCGCATACAAACATAAACAACAAAATACGACAGAAAACACCCGCCGCATGCAGTCATCGTAAACAACAAGAGTATACGCTGCACTACGATCTTATATGATGCTTATCTACGACCCTCGCGCACGTTAGTTGTAAACGATGACCGTATATAAGGCACGTAATTTTGTCGTTCGTTTCTGTTACAGGGAAAATTACGATCATCACAGATGTAAGCTAAATCGAACTTACGGTTAGTTGTGATCCATGGTTCCCCTGTAGACTACTAGAAGGCGTCACATTATCTCGTATGCGGTTTCTTCTTTTAGTGTGAGGGTTTTATATTGTTTTTCTTTACGTTGTTCTTTGTCACGGAAGTAAGAACTTAATAATAACGTGTACTTCTGAGGTACAATTTCAATTCTTTACCTTTCGAACAACAATAAAATTCAATATTAAGTGAGGTTCGGTGCATTAAATATTTTTTCGGTGTGGGTGTGGGTGTGGGTGGGGGTGAGTGGGTGCGGATCAAAAGATGAGGAACGAGAACACACACCCACACACCTACACCCACACCCACACCCACACACCCACACCCACACACCTACACCCA